AGCATATTGATCCTCAAGATACTTCGTTGCCTATGACTTAATTGTAATTTCAAGGTTTAACACAGACTTACCTGAGAAAGGGTGCAAGTTAAAGTATGTGTCTCACTAATTCTCTTACTGAACTAGTATAAGCAGCTTTTTACATAATGGTTTGTGTAGTCAATTAGCAGAGTATTAGCTATAATAGATAACATTCTTACTAAGACCATATTAATTAGAGCTTAAACACAGCTAATCTGAGACCTATATTGAATTTATATTATTATGTAAGCATGCTTCCGTAGGCAAGTAATTTCCTTCATGGCATTTCTAAGGAAAAGGAAATCCTAGCATCTGAGAGATAAATATGCAAATTTTAACAGATATTTGGAAAACATGGAGCATTTCTTAAAACTTGAGTGTGCCAGGCCATATTACAAATAATAGTAAGATTATGAACTGCAAAAGACACAAAAGATAGAATACTGTTTAAATTTATTGGAAAAGGAGCAGGATTGTTGAGCTAAGAAAATCTCTGCCAGTTTCATGGATTTATGTTACTACTCCTCCTTTTGCCTTGAGTTAGATCTCAGTTTTGGGGCTCTCTAGTGTAACTTCTATTGAGCAAAAATAAAGACTGGTCTGTCTCTATGCCCACATTTTTTACTGATCCACAAGAACCTACCCGTTTTGGGACATTCTCTGAAAATAATTAGGAGTCCTGTCTAAATACAGGTTTAAATTTGTTTGTAGTTGTATGGGTTTGTGATCTCCTTATGACTTTGTTCAGCAGTTTTGCAGTATAAACAAAGCTTAATGTCCCTGGTACAGCAGCTACCTGAAGGAATCCCTTAAGCAACAAACGTATTAAATTGTAAAATCACAGATAACCATGAAACTAAGCAATAGCAAATTTACAAGCCTCACAAACTTCAGTACATTAGAAAAAAAAAATGTGTATTGCAATGAAATTAAAATGCCATCATCTTAACTTCTGCTACCAACAGTTGCATCACTGCTGTTAGCAGAAAAAATCCACTAATAATGAGCTGATAGGGTCACAATGTTCTGTTATGTATCTAGTTACACTGCTGAAAATTACTGCCCATCTGTATGCCAGAAGACAAGTGCTTCTCATTGTGACTGAAATGAAGTGGAAGAATGAGGGCTAAATGCTCGTAAATGCTCTTGCCAAGAGTCATGTAAGCTTCTGGGGGCTCACTAGGCAGGTTACCTCTGTAACTTCAGGTGCAGAGTTGACAAACTTTTGAATTCATACTCCTCCCTCCCATTTTTTATTGACAAACGATTTTCATACTTGTAGTATCTTAATTTTCTGGTTTGTTGTTGTTTGTTTGTTTCCTTCCTTTTGTAATGGTAGCCTTTCAAACATTGTGGCATATTTAAGTATTAGCCATACTCTTCCATGTCTAAAAATATAAGTCGGCAGTGTTTTAAAATCTCTCTTCCCAATTTATGCATCATTATTTTCGGAACATATACTTTAATTTCACCAACAGAGGTCAGTAAACCACTGAAAGAGAACCATAAGTGTTTGGCAAGAACACACTCTCCTCTCAATCTTTCTAACATCCTTCTGATAGTTTTGTTCAAAGGGCTCTTGTTGGGCTCCTACAGTAAATATAAGCTTAGTTAATTAAAAGAAAAAGAAAAGATGCAAGTGTATGCTTTATGCATACAAGAGAATGAGTTTCATTAGGGATATGAATCACGGAAAACACTACACTGTTAAAGATCTTTCATCATTAGCATATATTCAAAATACCTGTTATGAAGCCAGTAGCATACATACATGCAGCGGTATAATCACTGCTAAGCCAATTTGTCAAGGTTAAAACAGGCTGTGATTTAAATGGTAGAATTTGGAATGATCTGCTGAATTCTGCTTTCTGAGCTTTGTGCTGTTGAAAACCAGCCTAATGTGGAGAGAGTATGAAGAGGAGGATCCCAGAGAGGTAACATTTAATGATATTAAAATACCAGATAGAAGCACAGGAGAAACCAAGAGCTGTCACTGACTTGCTCATTTTGACAGTAACGCTCAGCTAATGGAACTATATTAACACATCATTTTCCAACTTTCAACTGTAATGAAAAGCTATTTTTACAAATCATTACTTTCGGTATATGGTGTTTCAGCCACGTGGCTTCTATTAGCGTACAGGGGAGTTTCACAACTGAAGCTGCCTGTGCAGTACTGAAAGTGTACCTTTTATGTTGAGCTAATCCCAGAGGGGAGTCAGCACTCGCGCCTGTGTCCTTTTAACCTTTATCCTTTTAATGCATTTTGCCTCAGTAGCAAAAGGTGAAAACCTAGTTTTTATGTTGCAAAACAGACTGCTTCAACAGCATTTCTCTATGAAGCTAAGGAAAGTAACATACGCTCCTGTGGAAATGTTGGAAGTCCCTAGTTCTGCCATCAACAATAGCTTTACAGACGTATTTTTAGTTTCCCTTTGAAGCTCACCCATAGGTCTCGCTACCACCCCTCTCAACAGCTGCGAGCATGCGAAGCCACTGGAGTAGATGATGTTAGTTATCATCAGCTACTGGAATTTCTCCAGGGACTACTTGTGGTTAGAAACGTGCTTCCCTAAAGAACTGCGCCAGGATCATCTCTCCTTTAGCTTATCTGAGTCCCTTCTTTCAAGCAAAAGAGATAATCAATTAAAACTCCCAATATTCACTTTCAAACATTTTTCTCTTAGGACGATTGTGTGATTTTTCTTCAGCAATCTTAACTGTAAAATCTTTTATTTCTGTGAATAGGGTTCCAACAACAGACATTTTCATGTATTTGTGTTTCCCAGACACTAGGTTTAGCATACATAGTATAGATTTTGATTAAAAACTGAACAAGTACAAACCAAAAATGTAACAAAAACAGAAAACAAATTGAGGGACGTGACTCTGTGTGTTTTTTTCCTCCCCAACATGAGTCATTTAACTTCCTTTTTATGGTCAAGAAAAAGCTATGCACCTTCCCCCCATGCCACTGGAGAACTGCATACACAAACATGGTCTTTCCCCTTCCGCTTTACCTCCTGCTACTCAGTGGCATTTTGAGTCTAAACTAGTCAGCATCAGGAGCTTGATGTGATGTCAGCAAGTGAGATATTCCCCACAGGGAACCAAAAAAAAAAATACTAGATGAGCTGGCTGAAAGATCTACAGAAAGAGAAATAACACATAAACAACAGACTGTAAGCCCAGCCCTTTACTGTGACTACTACAAAGCACATTTAATGACTGAACACATCCTTAAATGTACCTTGTAGATCCCTCTTGTGGTAGTTAAACCTAGTAATTGCTGCCACCCCCTCAAGACCAAGTCAGGTCAATCTCCAGCTGCACAGAATCTAGGATGGACTCTAATCTGTAGGATTCAATTACCAGCACACCCAGACAAATACTAAGGACATTTCTCTTGATATGGATTAGAACAGCACATATTCACCCATCCTTCATGAAGTGACCCACCAGTCATTTTTGATAATGTAAGGGAGCCAAAAGGAAAACAGGCACCTCGCTCTAAGAACACCATTCCTTTCCTGTTAGAGTACAGGAAATCCCCTTCCACCCCAGGAGGAAGAGGTAAGCAGGGAGGAAATTCAATGTAATGGAAAGTAAACATGTCAACTGTGAAAATAGTAACCACCAGTGACTACAAAAATCCTTCCTTGTCATACTTCAAGACAATGAGTACAACGGTACTTCAGTTATTGTGTTTACAGAGCGAAAACTCACACAATTAACTGGCCAATTTCCTTCCATGTAGACTCTTAGTGCTGTTGCACTGCACACCTTCTCCAGGTCAACATCAAATGCAGTGATGGAGCAGCAGATACAGTCAACATGAGGGCCCATTGATTACTTCCAAAATGGTCACTGAAGTTCAGTTCAGCTGCTGTAAGCCTTTACTAGCTAGAGAAAGTAACAATACTCTTGATGCCAGCTGAGGAACACGTAATGGGGAAGATAAAAGTGAGCACACAAACACAGAACTTTTATATACAAAAAAAGTTTAATTGAAATACCTGTATAAAAAATATGATCTCCATACATTTCACACTGTTAAACAGAAGAAAAAAAAATCCAAATCCAAGCTGCATAAATGCAACCAGATCACAGAAACACAGCTATTAAAATAAATTAAGGTTTATGACTCTGCCACTCTACCTTCCAGAGCCAATGCACGGAGACTGTACAATGTCAATAATTTAAAACCCTTCCAAATAGCATTACTTTACATCTCTGGTACAATAATACCAGACAAAAGGCATACTGACTAACTTTAAAAAGTCATTCTATTTCCCTTAAATTAGACTTTGTACAACAATTTTCCATCTTCCAACAAAAACTGATAAGGTCAGAAAGTTTTTTTTGTATTTTTTTTTTTTTTTTAAAACAAAAGTTGACAGGAATGCAGAAAAAAAAGTGCCATGGGCAAACCACTAGAATTCCCATGGGGAGAAGGAGGGGAAAGCACAGTGTTGAATAACTCTAACCAAATAAATTAACCAAATAAATAGCCACAGCTGAAACCTGTGGGAGGTCTTCTAAACTCCAAACAATAAATAACTGTATAGTACATGGGAAAAAAAACAAGTTTACATAAACATATTATACAGGTATGGGAAAAAAAAAAAAGTAAAGTCCTTGAATATTGCATTGATTGTGCATTCAACATGCCCATACATACTTTAAGACTCGCAGGGTGACAAAAGGCCAGGGGGAGTTGAGAAAGGGGCTTCTCATGCCCAGTGGTAGAGATGATAAAAGGAAACATGAGTAAATGTTTCTGATAAAAAAAGCTGATATACCTGTTCATATTTCTGTGCAGGCTATAGGAAATATTTTGAGCAGCAGAGGTGGGTTGTATTTGGAGAGGGCCAGGGGGGAGGAGTGAAATGTCTGAGTTCAAGTATTCCATCACCAGTGGATGGGACTACTTCATTCAATCACCGAACGTGTTCTCCAATGCATCATAGGAGCTGCTTCCTCCAGCACTGAGTCTAAAGGGAGCAAATTCCTATAATGAACTGGATCTTCTTTGGACATACACAGCTCAAAAAAGAAAGTCCCACTGAAGCAGCTTTCAAAAAGGCACTCAAAAGCAAATAAAATCTAGTCCAGGCTCTATGAGAGCAAAAAAGTTTACCATGTATTCAAGAGGTCACTGCTTTCTTAATAAGGTCAGTCTTTGACTAAGTACTGGCCTGCAACTCCCAAACATCAGCGTTTCCAAAGGAAATCTCTCATTCCAAAGCAGAAACCAGCAAAGGGGGAAAAATAAAATCAAGTCCCTCAGACAAAGATTCAACTACAAAATAATGAATGCGTTTTTCTAGCCCCTCCTACGTATTGGCAGCAGCACTGTGGTCTTTCTGCTTGTAGCTCCCCTCCCAGTGCGAGGTCCTTAGTAATTCACAGACTCTCATTACTTGAACTTGTGCTAGATACATCAGTATCAAGGGTCCGTAGCCTTATGTCACAGTCCTCAGACTTCACTACTTCAGATTTGTGCATCCATTGATGGTCAAAGATTTGCTCAAGTGTTGGTCTGTCTGAAGGCCTCAGTGAAAGGCACCATTTGATCAGCTGTTGACATTCTGTAACAAAAAAAAAAAAATTTTAGACTAAGAAATTAAAAACACAACCTTGAATAAGAAAAATACTACCTGTACAAACACAGATGTACAGGCCTGCTACTAAAAAAAAAAAAAACCCCAAACCAAAACACCACAAATGTCCCCACTTGACCCCTACATAACTCACCAAGGGAAATTCTTCTCCTGAAGTATAATCGTCCCCTCAAGATTTCTTCATCTTGCTCAAAAGGGATGTCTCCGCAAACCATATCATACAGCAGAACTCCCAGAGACCATACTGTTGCTGACCTTCCATGGTATCTGTGGTATCTGATCCACTCTGGAGGGCTGTATACTCTGGTTCCTACAGGCAGGGGAAAAAGAAAAAAATTTAAAGTCAAGGTTTAGAGTGTTTCCCCATTGTTCAACTCCTTCTAGTAAGGCTAAATTAAAATCCTAAACTCATCGTTTGGGATTAAAAAAAAAAAAAGCAAGCTTTAAATTTCTTCTAGGCCAAAGCCCTTAGCGGTGTAACTTCAGGTCATCTGCAGGGTTACACCACCAGACTTGGCCCATCCGGTTGTGCTATTCTGTTGCAAGGAATAACACAGCCCCATCAGCTGACTGTTTACTGAGGCAAGCTCCCTTTCACTGACCACGTGGCGTCTGCAGCATCACACCAAAAACAGACACAAAAGGACAAAGGGGGTTGGCGGGGAGGAGGCGAGAGGGCGGCAAGAAGGTGAAACGCAGGTCTACCCGCATTACACCCGGCTAATCTGCCTTATCCAATTCCACAAGGCAGTAAACAAAATAGGGCTGCTTACCATTTCTACGTTTTTAAGGCACATTTCCCGCCCTCCACCCTCCCTCGGCTCCCCCCCCCGTGCTTTTCT